CAGCATTTTATCGAGCTCAACAAACTAATGTTTTTTGAAGACAAAGACAGAAGCTATGCATGGGTATGAGTTTTCTTATTTATTCTATAAATTGAAGTATTCAAAAAAAGCCTTCACCAATGGCTACATAATCAGTAGGTTACAGAGGCAGCTGCACAGTCTGGTAAAATATAATAAGCCATAGACATTGCTATAGCAGAAAATTCTAGCAGGCAGCAGTTTCTAACACCAGTTTGTAATTCCATAAAATGCAATTACACCACAGGCATTAATGGTTTTAATTGAACCAATTATGCTCTAAGAGGTAAAAGACTAAAAATACATACTAAATTATACCAAGTCTTTAGTCTAAATAACACTTGAGACTTAACAAAATACTTGTGGGCAAACAAATCACAGATGGTCAAACAATGTAGCACAGCAATACCCTACACAAACACTATCACTTTGGGATTTTTTTTTGTTTGCTTTTTTTAAGCAAATTCTTATTTAGAGAAATGAATAATGTATATTTTGGTGAAGGCTGAGCAGTTCACTGTACAGACACTGATTTCCCTTCATCCCAAAGAAGATACTCGTTCCTTGACTCAGGATCAGATTCAAGCATTCATCAAAAGAAAAAAAAAAACCAAAACTACAGATTCCTATTTTCCCCATGAACACCATTTGCAACATGCTCAGGAATGACAAAGTATTGAAAAGGGAATGTGACCAGAAGTCTTTCTTCCTCCTGGTCACTCATTTAACTATGTCAGTCCATCCTCCATGCTTAGGGCATTACTAGGTCCTACCATCACATTTTAGGCATTACTTCTCTAGAGAAACCCTTTGTTCCTATCAAAGCACTCATTCAGCATTTCTCGAGGCTTTATGAAAGAGAGGGAAAACAGTCAGTTTTCTCAAACACAAAGTTACACTTTGCAAGAGGTAAAGGACACATAAAACATTCCTTGAAAGCAAGAGGAACATTTTCAGAACTTGAGGCAATATCACAATTCATTTCATCATGGATCTAGCCATTCTCAAGGTGAATCAGGATAATCATATTACACTGCAGAATCCAGTCTGATGTGACTAAAGCCTGTCTGTCCTTCAGCAAACCACTCCCTCCAACAGAAACAAAAAAGAATGCACAAAGATCTCAGTATTAGCTACTCTGCTGTGCATACCTGGTCACCATCCTGTGGGTGAAGGAGCACAGCACAGGGCAGGAGAGGCAGGTGTGACCCCCAGCAAGAGAGGTCTGCCTTGCTCAAGGCATAAATGAGCAGGAACACACTACAGCCTCTCCAGAGACAGCTTTTTGTTTTCTGGCCTGCCTACCTATGGCACACAGGCAGGGCCTGAGAGATGAGTTTCCTCAGAACAGATGTGCAAAAGCTAACTTGAGGAAGCATGGGCTGCTCATATCCACTCAGTTTTTAGCTATCTACACATCCAGATAGCTGAGAGTACCTAAAGAAAATAATGAGCTAGGCTGCACTCCAAGGGAAACAGGGAAAGCAGACCAGAAGCAACAAGGCTGCGTCAAGTTACAGTATTAAAAAAGAAATTTCCACAATTTGAGTAGCCAAACACAGGAAGAGGTTGCCCAAGGAGGCTGAGGAAACACATGCTCAGAGACCCAACTCAACAAGGTCCTGAGCAGCCAATCCAACAGCAGAAATAGCTGGTCCCTTGAGTGTGAGAATGACCAAGACACCTGTGCAGCCACAGCTACAAAGGTCTCTACTAAGGATCACCTGGCCATGCTAATACCCTGCCACAGATAAGGGAGCTGACAGACTGAAGCCCAAAGGGCAACTCAGCCACTTGCTGATGTCACTGCCAAGATTAAACCCCAAGTCTTTTATTTCTCATCACTTCTACAAAAGAACTTGTACTGAGCAAGATAAAGGGAGGACTGTTTCACATCTTACTGCATAAGGATGTCCACCAACAAATGTTTAAAAGCTTTGTTTCTCAAGCATCCTTAATCCTCTGTCAAAAGCCCCAATTTTTATTTCTTTAGACAATACACAGTATGATAACTATAAGCTATAAAATTTCCATGAATCCATTATGCTTTGGTTTAATATTAAAGTAAGGTCAATATCATTGCAAACTCTAAGAAGAAATTCAGACTACTACAGGAAATGCATCCACGTATATTGTATTTGATAAAGTCTCTTTCACTGCTATTTTTTCCCAAAGCTTCCTAATCCAAGTAAGTAAAATACTTCTAGTGCTGCAGGGTGCCAGGCATCAAATCTGCCTCCCATTCCCTTCATCAGGAAAAACCCAACCATCTGAACTGATAGACTGCGTGTACTTTTTCTGTCTAAAATATTCAAGTGTAAAAATAAAAATGTCACTGGGCAGGGGTATCCAGAGCAAAGTTACAGAAAGTCAGTCAACAGTAACAGAAGGAATAATAAACAGATTGTCACTGGCTCAGCAGTTGAGTGGCATCATTTCTACCCAGTTTTCCTACTCTGCAAAACTAAATTAATTGCTAATTTAGTCCTTCTGTCCAACCTAGGATGAGCCTATTGCAAGCAGCTGACAAACAATCAACTCTTAACACACAGGTTTGCTTAACAGCACATATTCCTGGCAGCTTCATCACAGCCTTTTCCTGCACCACTCAGGTGTAGAAAACCAGATCCACTGGGTTATTCAATGAGTCCCAGTCCCATGAGACCAGTCATGGGTCATACAGCCACCAGTTAAATGCATCAGAATCCTTAGCCTGGAACAAAGATCACATAGTTCCACACTGCTAAGGATTTCTGACACAGTGCACAAAGTTGCAGCAAAGGAACTGGACATAAAGTAAGCAAATCCTGTATACTGGAGGCCTTAAAGATTCTTCACACAAACAGCAATTAGGCTGCAAAACTCCTTTCTCCTGGGTACTCTTGACAAAACACACCTAAAGCCATTAAATACAGACTGAATCACAATTCATAGAAACCACAATGAGCACTGCATGCACACACTAACTGGCATTTCCATGTGCTTACAACTTTCCCTCCCTGGCACTCTCCACCTTCCACAGGATGTGCTGCTTCCTTGGGCTTAGAATAAATCATCCAGTTTATCGCAGATAGCCACAAAAGTTTTCCTTTATTCTTTTAAATTAATTAACAGGATACATGCTTCCACAGTAATTCTATAGAAAGAAAGGGACGAGAAAGGGACCGAGAAAGGGACTGAGAAAGGGACCGAGAAAGTAGGTTCAGGAGCCAGAAAGTGACAAGATAGAGACAGGACCATTTGCAGCTCTCTGCTCCAGATGCACAAAACCTGAGAAGGACAGAAAAGTTTTGCAAACTCAATGTACTCAGTACAGTCATACTATCCTCAGAAATACAAACAGCACTATCCACAATATGACTGTTTTGATGGCAGGCACATTCGGGGAGCCCAAATGTTTCAATGAATACTTTTATTAGGAGCAAGATCTGCCCATTTATTAATTCCTACACCCTGGCTCCCTACTGTAAAAATTAGGTGTTTAAAGCACTACATTTATGGCCAGGAGCTTGTCAGGAACCACTGTACAAAACTCTCAGTTGTTCTGTCATTAAGAGATTAGTTTGAGAAAATGCTCTGCAAATCAGACTAATAGTTTACTCAATCCTTAATCCTATTTTACAAGATCCAGACTTACCACTATTCAATACCAGAACGCAACAGGACACCTGGTAATGTTAAACCATGTAGACTATAGGAACAGAGAAGGAAAAAAAAAAAAAAAAAAGCCAAAGACTGAAAAATAAAAAAATATATCCCTCACACACAGAGACTTTTCCAGACTTCTGGGACACAGAGCATTAACAATTATTTTGATTGCCAGAGGACCACTAGTGAAACACAACATAAACGTGCAACATAAAAGCTTCCAATGACTGTGTTCAATCGGCGGGTGAGGTTTCAGCAGCTTTTCCAGGCCAGCAGCCTGGCTCTGCAGGATGCAGGCCTCCTCCTAGCCAGCCTGCTACTAGCAAACTCTCACCCAGGCCCTGGACAGAGGGTTGGTGTCACAGCTCCCAGCGAGAGGCACAAAAAAAGGGATGCTCAGACCAGCAACCTGGCACCAACCTAATGCACACTCTGCTACTTCATGCATTGCAGGTCTGCCGAACAGCTGAGCTGGCGGTTCAGGGACACCTCAAAACACGCGCCTGCAGGAAAATTCTCTGGAAAGACGAGATTCAGGAGTAGTTTATTTACAGATTATTGCAGCTAAACTCTTTTGTTAATGATAGCAGCTCAGTGCATCACCCTCACATCCTGACTGCATCCAACACTGGGATCCCCAACACAGGAGGGGCACTGACCTTTTGGAATGAGTCCAGAGGAGGCCACCAAGCTGATAAAGCATTTCTCCCATGAGAAAAGGCTGAGAGAACTGGGATTGTGCAGCCAGTGAAAGAAAAGGCTTAGGGGGTGACCTAATGGCACCCTTACGGTACCTGAAGGGAGCTTACAGGAAAGATGGGGCTAAACTATTTACATGCAGTGACAGATCAAGGGGAGGCAGGTTCATGCTAGGAGTAGGTTCATATTAGCTATTAAGAAAAACATCTTTATTGTAAGGGTGGTGGGGCACTGGAACAGGTTAACCAGTGAAGTTGTGGTTGTCCCATCCCTGGAAGAATTCAAACCCAAGCTGGATGCAGCTCTAAGCAACCTGAACAAGTGATGGGTGTCCCTGCCCATGGCAGGACGGTTGCAACCAGATGAAATTCAAGGTCCCTTCCGTGATTCTCACATGCTGTCCCCGGTCGTGCCCCACGGGCCCGGCTGGCCCGGGCACCGCCTCCCCCCCTGTCCCCGCCGCTCTCGGGAGGGCCCGCGGGCGCAGCGCCGGCGCCCGGGGAGTGCCGGGTGCGGACGGACGGCCCGGCCCCGCCAGGCCGGCGGGGATGCCCGCGGGCGAGGCCTCCCTGCAGCGCCCCAGCCCCGGGAGGCCTCGCCGAGCCCCGGCCGCGGCTCCGCCCGCAGCGGCGGCGCCTCCGCCGGAAGGGAAGCGGAGCCGCCCTGGCCGAGGGGAGGGGAGAGCGGCGCGGGGGAGGGGACACCGCCCGGCCCGGCGCCCCCGGAGGCGGCCGCTCCGCGCTCCCGTACCTGCGCTGGAAGTCGGTCCGGAAGGGCTCCAGGTAAGGGTCCCGCTCCAGCAGCTGCTTCAGCCTCGGCGGCTCCGTGCTGGCGGCGGCCATGTCGCCGCCGCGGGCTCGGCGTGATCCGCGGCGCCGCTAAATACAGCCGGTGAGGGGGCCGGGCGGGCGGCCGGGAGCCCCTGCCTCTCCCCGCCCACCGCCCGGGGCCGCCTCCGCCGGCCCTCCCCGCCCGCGGTGCGGCGGGGCCGGGGCTCCGCGGCTGCGGGAGGGAAACCGCGGCTGCCCGGCCTGGCCCGGCCCGGCCCGGCCTCCTCTCCTGCTCGGTCCCACAGCCCCGGCTCGCTGCCCGCGGCACGGGAAGGGGCCGCGGAAAAGCGCCGGTGTCCGAACGGGATGGGGTGACAGCAGAGGAAATAAAAAAACTTGCGACCAAAAAAAAAAAAACAAAAAAAAAACAAAAAAAGAAAAAAGGCGTTTGCGGGAGCCGAGCCGCCCGGCAGGAGGGGGATATCTGCCTGCTGTGGCTCGGCAGTGCCCCAGTTTGTTTTCTTAGGGGCTCTTTGATGTCTTTTTCAGCGTGTCAGATGCCCGGGTGAACTCTTAATTCCCACACACATAAAGCCCACTGCTTACCCCAGCCAACAGCAACACCCCCCCAAAGCAGATTTGGCATCATCATGAGTGCTGGAATAAATTTCTCGGCTGTTTGATAGGGTGCTGACGTGCTCACAGACAGCTCAGCAGAACAAGACTCTGGGGACATCCCTGAGTTCTCATAAACTCCGTGTCTGCACGGCAAAATGCTGCTTTGTCAGACACATAAATTCCAAACGTGCTAAGGTTAGTCCAGCTGAGCCTAGTGCAGCTCGAAATGCTGAATAGCACAGGTAGATTGCTGTGGAAGTTTTTGACCTAACAGCAACATGTCTTGTTTTTGGATAGGTCACCAAATATCCAGGGCAACTAATCACCAGCCTGACCATGCCTCTAGGCCAGCATTGAGCACTTTTATTTAAGGTCCAGCAATTTTGCTTTGTTTTGATAGCTAGTGAGAAAGTTTATTTAGAGGCCTCTTTTGAATGCTTTTCAGCTTCTAGACATCTTAACTCGTTCCCACAACTATCTCCAAAATTGTTGTCTTCAGTTTGACACTCACCCCCCTATCTTGGCTTCCTCTGAATTGGAGTGCTGTTTCTCCTGTCTGCCAGATGACTAACAGCACCGTGTCTGATGAACACTAACAGTTCATTTATTACTTCTCCGAAAACTAGCTACAGTGAAAGTTTCCATAATGATTTGTTTCATCACCAGTGCATGCACACTTAACAACACTGTATTTCCTTCCCTGTAGCAGTTTCTAACTACACAGGCAAAAGTCCAAGTACCTTTGTTCTTTTTCTCCTTATGGAGTGCAACAACTATTCTGTCCTAAGACTGTGGGGCAACAGTCATACTATTTTGCTAGATCAGTTGCCCTAACAGGAGGTCCAAAGAGTTTTGGTTTGATTATTGAAAGAAGCAGCATCTATGCTGTAGCAGAACTACTTGTCATATCCTGCCCTGATAAATCAGGATTTATTTTTTTTTTCCACAGTGGCCACAATTTCTTCAATCACTGGAGACTGAAAAACTGTTTCTAAAATTACCCAGGCTTCTCAAAACTTTCTGTGTGGCAGTGATTTCAGTGCCTGTGCTAAAACAACGTTTAACAACTCTTACCATCTCATTTTTGCTTCTTTCCTCATACTGTGTGCATGGTATTCTCCTGCAAATTCTCCTCACTCTCACACTTAAATATCTTGGATATTTAGAAGAAGAGAAGTTCCAGCTTATTATCAAGAGCCATGAAATTGGGTTTTTTACAATAGCTGCATGTTACGTGTGCTGCTGCTTTGGGGTTTCCAGGTGTTCCAGGTACTGGAGAGGGCACCTGCTGGTTGAAGTGGAGGTGGGAGAGCAATTCCTGCAGCCTCTGAATGCACGAGCATTGGAAACAGCTTCAGTCTTAGCACAGGTTCTTTGGTTTTATTCATTGTCAGGAAGGCCAAGCAAGTTCCCAAGGCCAAGCATTGTTATCAGCTTTTCAGCATACACACAAGAGAGACACCTATAAATGAGCATTAGCAATTTTTGTAGGAACGTAGCTGTGACTTGCACCTCCCTAGAGACAGGGACCCCTTTGTAACATTGATTTTAAGTAGAAATGACACAGCATCCAGTGTCATATACAAGCAACTTTGAACTTCAGGAAGTTAAATTCTGCAGGTAGCCCCCCTGTCCTTATAACAGACAAAGCTCCAGTGATCTATTTAACACTCTGTGAACCAGAATACGAATAAGCATACCATTTATATCTACTCATGTTTCATTTTACAACTTGGGCACGATTTCATCTGCCTGCATTGTCACAAGTAACTGCAAGATCCTAAGGCATATGTTATTTTGATCACTGATTACACCATGATCCTGGTGGTCCCACCATGAGCCGAGGCTGGCTCTCAGGACAGTGCCATTTAATCCTCTACCTGGAGGCAAAACCGACAGTTCAGACAATGAATATTGTCCCAACAGCTGAATGTGTCTTTGTGCATTTGTCAGGGATGGATACAAAGCTGCCAGCTGCTGCTGCCAGTAGAAACAGAAAGAGGAGGACTGTTGGGAATAACTGTTCTTTTATGGGGACAGCAGTGATCATATAATAATGGTGTCTAAGGCATGTGTCTGGCACCCAGTTACCAGTGAGGCTGGAGTCTATCAATTACTCCAAAGTAGTCTTTCAAAGGATGTTCATGCTTAAGTTATGTATCCTTTAAAATTTTGCAGAGTGGTTCTTGAGAAGTAACTGTATGGTTAAAATTATAAAATCAATTTAGATGTCTTTTTAATAAGCAAAGTCCAAAGATAAACCTAAATTTTGAAGAGAAAAATGTCTACTCATGTCATGCAGCACCTCCATTTTGATTCACTAATATATTGCACTTGCAAAACATGACAGAGATGATAAACCATAGGAAGTAAGTCAGGAAAAAGATCTTCCTTCAATTGAACACTGGTTCAGATTCTCCCTCATCAATAGTTTCTTTTCATATTTCAGCCAAAATGGATCTGTGAGGTCTCTGACCTCTGACTGGCTCTTACAGAGCAAATTCCTGAGCTCCAGGTTCTGCTAAACCAAGTGGCTTAGAGCAGTCCTGGGCCCTGGTCCTGGCCTGGCTCTGTAAGATGCTTGTCTAAGTTGTCTTTGGGGTACAGGCTTCTGCTCTGCAGCTAATATAGAGATTGACCCAATCCCACAGTTTAACCTGTGTGAGATGGCAGGTACCAAAGGCAGCAGGATATTTTTTTAACTCTATGTTGAGAGCATTGAAGAGTTTCTGATCTCTCAAAGTGACAAGTCACAAGGCTTGTCCTTTGTATGGTTCAGTTCAATACTTAAAGGCTATATCAAGACTTGCTATCCTTTTAGTCTGGGCAGAACTCCTCCCAGCTCCTTTTCCTGAAAGTCTTTTTACATCTAGGTATGGTTGGTCCACTGTGTTTGCTTGCATGTTGGGAGATGTATTTTTTATTGGCATTGCACCTACCCTTGACTTACAGATGAGAGATAGTCCATGAGCAAGAACTACCAGCCTTGCAGTGACTTGTGCCTATATTGGATCTCATAATGCCAACTATCAAGAAAAGGTGTTCCTGTGGACAGAGACAGCTGTTCAAAAAGATTTGTGCTTCAGTATTCCAGAAGAATGGATTCTTGAAGACTCCCCTATCCTTTAAGGACATTTCAGACATCTGAGCATGTTACGGGTACCAACCCATTGCAAGCTCCCAATTTTGGACCAGTTTCTTCACATTCAGTTCCTAACGCAAAGTAGAGTTCAAAGTGTAAAGGAAAATTAGCTTATTTTGCCACATCAGCCAGCCAAGCCTCCCCATGTTATTTGTTCAAGGATCCATAAGAAATAAACTGCACAGTTGTCATCCAGATCCAAAGCAAATGCCCCCCTTAAAAAATAATTATGCATTATCTCGATAGTCTTCCCAGAGAGGTCAAAGATTGGGCATGGAGCTGTAGCTCACTGCAGGGTGGTTGTAGTTGGTGACCTTTAAAGGTCCCTTCCAACATAAGATACTCCATGATCCCATGAGACTTATCCCTATCTTTGGATTCACCAAGGTGAGACACATAGGAGAAAGGAAATGGTCAGTGTTGCACAGCTGCTGCCAAGCATCACATCACTGTTCCATAATTAAAACTGTACTACATAAAGGATTCAACTGTTTGATTACATGTGAAGAACAAAGCACCTGTCCTTGAAAATTGCAGCAAACAAGCAAATTGCAACAAGTATCTGTTGGTATGTCTATTAGTTCAGAGGTTTCAGAATTTTAAGTTTGGGGTTTATTAGAAATGTAGGGTATTGATACTGTCTTTTAAGGTATCGCCTTTGCCCTGTCATGGTTTCAGGAGCTTTACATAACAACACATCTTCAAAGATCAAAACAAATACAGAATCTGAAACACTAAAAAGCCAGTTTCAGGGTTGTAAGTTTCCAGTAAGCAGAGTTGATGGAAATGCCATTTTCACTTGCCATTCAGAGCAAAATAAAAACACATTCCAACAACCTGAAAGTCCTAAATAATGACTGCTTGTTGTTTTCACAATATTGCAGTGTGATTATACTTTGGTGTCCTTATTTTGTAGAATAAATTATAAAAAATGTAAATATCTTACAAAGTTGTTTACATTAATCAAGACACTTCAAAGTGTGATACCAATTTTAAAACATCCAGATGTAGAACAATATTTGTTGTGAAAATGTCTATCAGTCTTGCTAAAAAAATCAACTAAGAATTTGTAAAACAGTTCACAGATGCAAAACACAAATAAAACCTTCAGGAATTTCATAATTTTTTTGGGTGTTGCAGATACTCTGTCTGTTGTATGCCTTCTATATTTCTCAAAAGAAATTACTGCCAGTAGTAACAACTTTCTACAACTTACTGCAATTTCCTGGTGTTTGCATATGTGTTTATGCATTGGAGGAAGAACAAAAGATATTCTGGACTCACTTCTTTAATGCCATACCACAATACTTTTGAGCTGTCACCTCTGTTTTACCAATGTGTGTTTATCTCTAACACTTAGAAAATAAGTAGCTTGAGCTCCCTGGGATAGTTGCCCCAGAGGAACATTCTTGCTATTATTGCAGCAGCTCCTGTAACAATGTATTACTATTAAACAAGCAACTTATTAACACTTGCCAAATATTGTATTCCTTTTATCCAATACACTCAGAACTGAGAATGAAACCCCACAGCATCGGCAGCAATTTTGCTTTCTTGTTGTTCATTGTCAGGTCTTTCCTAAAACCCTTGAGGAATGGTCTTACCTTGGGTGTTTCTTGGCTGCATAGTCCTGAAACACTACTAGTAAAAGGCCAGGCATTTAGGCTGCCTGGCCTTTTACTCAGAAAAGAAAGTGAGGTTGCCAGATAATCGTTCAGAGGGTAACACATCTAATCCTTCGGGAGGTCAAGTGAGGTGAGAAGAAAGGAGATGCATCCTGCTAATGCTCTGACAGCTCTGTCAATATAAATTCATTAGTATGTATGGAAGTATTTTAGATTTCAAAAAGCAGAATAGTACCTCAGTTGTATTCATGAACTCAAGTCTCTCCTGAGTTTACCGCAGGAAAAGCAGATGGATCTGGTGCAAAGTGTTTGTGAAATGCAGAATTTTTGGTTGGAAGTCCAAAATGCTTTCCACAGACAGCCTTTTAGATCTTGTCAGTATTAGTTCTGGTTTACTTTTTAATGGCAGTTGGTGGCATTTGACCCAATTAATTCTCAGATATGACCCACAGTGTGTTGAGTGAACAGAAAGATAGGGCAGGGACCAGATCCTTAATGCTACATTGAAAATTTTTCTGTAGTTAGAAGAAAACAGCAAATATAGAACTAAGAACTTGTTGTTAGTCCAATTAATATTTTAAAACTATCATTTTTCAAAATATTGGAGAAATTTGGAAAAAACCAAACCCCAACACCCTCATTAATAATGCATCTCTCTCTCTATATATATATCCAATGCATACTTGTTATGCAGGAAATTCTTTAGCACACAAAAGAATCTGAGAGTATAACTATGTATTTTTTGTCTTAGAATATCTCCAGTACTGAAGGTTCAGCCTTCACAGTCCCAGTGATTCAGAGCTACACTTACAGGTGTGTAACCTGTTGTCATAGGTGATTGTACTGTATGCAATACAATTTTCTATAGGAAATTGTGTATGCTTTGGTGATTCAACTTTCCTTCTTAGAACAAAAACTCTACATTTCAAAACTCTACATTTCTATAAATATAGAAATCCTCATCCGAGACAAATATATATAATTTTTTTTGAGAACATCAATATTCATGGATTAGGAAGAACTAATCTGTCTTCACATAGTTTTTGTTCTTGCTTAGAGATAAATCCTTTAGGTTGGATCCTTTTTCTCTTATTAGAAAGGTTTATATCATGCTCATTTGTAAAATCAGCCATGGCATTTCAGTTAAAAGTGGTATGACTTTCACTTTTTCTATATGTATGCAGCTTAACAAAATTATACAGTAAAGAAAACTTAAGTGATACACAGCTTCCAGAATGAGTACATTTGGAAGGGTTTGCTTAAACTGTGTTATGTGTGAGAAATAACAGGGGCAAATATAATTAATAGTTATCTTAGTTACCCAGAAACCCAGCACCTCTTTCAGGATTATTAGCTGCATTTCTGTTTCCTGAGTATTTTATGTTGAAGTATGTACTAATAAAACAACTACTTCATTACTACTTAGTGTGAAAATTTACTTCACATTATTAGATAACTTTTTTAGATAACAGGTTTTTTGCAACAAGCAGCTAAATATTTATATTTTTATCCAAATAGCAATCTTCACTGGTAATATACTAATTACAGTCATGTATTATATGGGTAAATTTTGGTTTTCCAAGTTAATGCAATCCCAGTTCCATTAGAATGGTTGAAGTGCTGATGGCTCTCAGTCAGTTGTCCTCAGTTTCGAACACCCTTTCATTCTGATGTCTCTGAGCCTTCTCTTTATCTCTCAAAATTCTCTCTGAATGTTGTTTTCCATTACCTAATTCTACTCAAAAGATGGTGAACATTGGCCAATCTCATTTTAGCTTAAGCAGCCACTGGGTGCAGATTTCCTCTTGCTTGTACCGTCAGCCCCTGCAACAGGGCATCAGTCATCACAGAGCGTCACTGCTCACAACAGTTCTCATTTCTCCTGCTTGAATATGCACTTCTTTGTTTCTTGCTGCATTATATTACCTTCTCAGGCAGCATTCAGGCTCTTCATTTTCTGCTTGTCCCATAGTTCCACTAGGAGGGCAGGCCATCCTCAAGAGGGAAGGTTCACCTTGGTGCCTGTAAAGGTGGGGCATAAGCAATTAGTTGCCTTTTTCTTTATGCCAGTCTTCAGTTCGTGATCAGCTTTTTCCAGGATCACTTTGCCAGTTTTCTTGTGTTGTTTCCATGTGTTTGTTCTAGGTCTCACTGTTTCCTTACTACAGTATTTCCTACTATGGCATATGTGCATGGACTGCTTTTCTGCCTCTTTTCACTTTGTCATCCCCCTTTTGCCACTTTTACCAGAGAAGAATTTATGAGAGTGAATGCTGACAAAAAAAGAGCAGTTTTTATAGCATCTGAGTCATGCAGCCTGATGGACTTTTTGTTTCTTTCTCTTGCTTGCTATTATTTAGTGTCCCCTACATCACTTCTTCCCTCATATGGCTTGCCATCTCTTTCTGTACTGTTCCAGTGTGTACAGGCCCTAAAACTAAATATGTTTCTGTGTCCAGGACATCCACTACAGGACTTAAAATACACCCTGGTCATAATTCAAGGATTGCCTGTCTCTACCACATAAACTTCAAAGAGAGACTGACATCTTTTTCTGATCCTAATATGTCTCTGCTTTCTTTTGTCTTGTGATCCATCCCTAGATGACACAATCTTTCAAATTCTGTGTCTTTTTCAGGTTCCTAGGGTGTTGCACATCTGCTCACAGCTGGCAGTTGCTCCTGCAGGAACATCTGGATTGCAACAATCTGCATCTCCAAGGCTTAGTCCCTGCTGAATATGCCATTCCCCCAGCCCAGCTATTTCTTCTACAAAAGGAGAGGAAGACAGGTGTTTCTAGGAGCAGAGTGGGCATGTGTAGTAAGAGGTTGGATTTGGTTTTCTCCTTCCTTGATTTCCCTATCAATCTACCTGATTTTGTCCTTTACAAGTAAAGCCATGATAAAAAGAGTCTGTACTCAGCTGTGTCATGAGAAAGGGAAAGAGACAGAGATCTCTAATCACACAGGGCTATGATCAGAGGCTTTTAAAGCAAGTATAAGCAGATTTGGTGCTTCCATTCAGTATCCACCTATCATCAGCTTGCTCTGACTGCCATCTGTTTTCTCCTCTTTCTCTCAGATTTTCAACCAAGTTTCCCTGTCCCTCACAAAACCCACTACTTGCCAGGGCAAGGCTTGGCTGGAGTGAGTCACAGCCAGATGATAAATTGATGTAACTACTGTTTCTCTGCCTTCCTTGGGTTGTTAGTGATCCTGAAGCACCTGGGTTGCCCAAATTTTTTTTTTTTTTATAGTAAATGAGATAATTGCCAGAAAACAGGACTGCATACCTGCTGCATTTGTTCCCAGTCTTCTGTGATGACTGTAGGCTTCCTCCTACAAAAGTTTTTTCGGAGGCTTGGTTGTTCAGCAACCCAACTAGAAGGATTCAGTTTGTTACACTGAAAATCTTCTTTGCTACACCATATTCACACTGCTAAGAATTTACTGTTAGCCCAATAAATATTCTAACAGTATAATTTATCTGATTAATGCATAAAAGCCTCACTTTTTTGATGCTGTGGTCACCTTTCCAGTTGCTTCTAAGTCCTGAGCTTGGCAGTCTTCCTCATGCAGACAAGAGATGGGACTTGCTTTGTAAGTCATCAGCCCCTAGCTGATGACACAAGAACAGTGATGTTTACTTTGTGGGATTCTAATTCCTCAGCTTTGGGTAAGTTTGCTTCTATTTTTAAACCTTACAACATCTGCTTCCATCTTACCCATTCCCAGCTAGCTTGAATATTGTGCAATATCTTTACTCCTGGGATCTCAGATTTCTACCATCCTCTGCAATTTTATTCCTCTATCAGTCAACCATTTACTTTACTAAAATCAGTAGTTTCAGCAATATGAAACTGAAATTCCTTAGGTGAGATTCCAGGAGACAGGTTAGAGACATGTTGATTTTCCAGAATCACAGTGGTTTTGCTGAAGTGCACAGTCAGCAGAGCTGTATAAAACTGGAGGTCATTGCATTGTCAAGTTCAAATTTGTCATTGAGCTTCTCAGGAAAAGCATCTATAGATAGAAGACATCATGAATGTTTGTACTGTTCAAAGGCCTGTTTTACAGCCTGTCAGCAATTCAGTAATTTGTTAATATAGAATATAAAAAAACTTAAGCCCAATGTCTCTTCCAATTTATTCTGCTTTTGTAGTATGTACCAAATTTATGATAAAATCCCAACAGATCCTATGAAAAACCTTATATCTGTGTCTTTTGGAGCCATGAGCAAATCAGCTCATTGTGCACTAGTCCTACATTAGCCAACTGTTGATAAATATGCTGTAGAATGAAAAAAGTATTCAAAATACTATGTCCTGGTAAAAAATTACAAGTATTTTTATGTTTTCATTTATTCCAGTTCTTTTTTCTCAAAGAATTTGAAATGTGAATAATTGTGTTGGGATAAATGAGAACACACAGACCTGTAGTTAATATGAGTCTGTGGAACCCATCTGCCATTTGCTTTGTGCTATCACAGAAACTCATACCACATTGTTCCAGGCAAAATTATCATTACAGATTTATATTGTTATAGGTTGTTATATATCTTATTATTGATATAGAATAATGTATTGCTATATATTATATACTATATAGTATTGTATTTATATTTTATATATGTATATTTTATATATACTATATAATTATTATATTTAGCTTTTGTTATAAATCTATATTTTTGCTTTAATAATGACCTTCTATAAATTCAATATTTTTTTAATCAGTGATACAGTTCACTGCCTTTGGTCAGTCAGGTTGATAGCAGTGAAGTAGTAGCCATAATAATAGTCTCTATTAGGAATAGTACACTATAAAGTAGGAATATTTTCAAAAGTCTTTCATGCTTTACCCTCATTAAAGCTTAGTGTCATAAACCACAGAGTCCTCTCCTGACATGTGTCTGGTTGTCATTATCTGGTTTGTTTACTGTCTATGGTTAAGGAATTAACTTGTGCAAATAAAGAGGTTTCTTCATTCATAAGATAATTGTCCACACTGTTAGAATTATTTGTTCTGTTTCTTCCTTCTGCTGTTTCAGCTGCACACAGTTAAAATACTGAATTACGCTTAAAATTAATGAATTATCTGCTGCTTCTTGACCTAAGCACTCCTGCAGCTGTGTCCTCAGGAGCTCCTGTGTTGCCATCTGATTCAACACGTGCACAAGGAACACTTTCAAAGGGAGCTGAGTCATTCTCTAAATCTGGAACATCGTCCTCGGAACACAAAACCTTCCCCTGCAGGACTTAAGGGCAAGTATTAACTGTGTCATTTGGCATAAGATGTTTTAGCTTCTCTTACTTTAAATTACTAGTGTGTCCTACTGAAAAGCACATAATTTAGCTCTGTCCACCAAAATTTTCTTTGTGACATTTGTGTTGCAAAGTGCCAAATAGTTACTTATGTTCTTACTTCTGTGTTCCATTTCCTTTTCTTTTAATTAATTGTCATTTCAAAATAGACTCACATCTTCACTGGACTGTTTTTAGTACATACATGTAATTTCTGTGAACTGTGACTACTTTGCTGTCATTCAGGAACCCTTGAGTCTCAAGGAACATAACTTCCTGTACAATCAAACTGTTATTCCAGTCAGAACATTGAAAGATGCTCACTGTGAATATCAATCTGACTTAAGTCATGTGATATACCTACCATTTAAAAGGGCTGATGAATGAGGACATGTATTAGACACCCTAAAAGTGAGGAAAAAGCAAGATCAACTGTTTATGTCTTATTATTTTCTTAGCACTATAAAATATCATGAACATTCTTTGCATTTTTAAAATTAAGGACTTGTGTCCATCTTTTCTCTGCCCTTGTCAGAATTGTATGCTCTGATATGTTGCAACCACTCTAGCACTACTACAAGTGGTTAGTACTAGGATTTTTTTCATGTTTATGTCCATGTTGCTGGGTTACTTGCAGCTCTGAATAAGATTTACACGAAGACTTGTGAAGAGCTCTGTATATGAGTTGTATTATATTGCTCAAAATAAAGCTTTTCAGCTGACTTCTTCAGTATAATTCTTTTTGTGTTTTAGGAATTTTCATGCTGGTTCTGTTTTTTGTAAATACTGCCTTTATTAAATTTGTAATATCCCAAAGTAATACTTTTTGCTTTAGGTTTATTTTCTTGATTTATGTGCTTCTCCCTCTCCCTTGCTTAGTTCTTTTTTGATTTAACACTGTTTTTTTTTCCCTTTGTTTTACAGTAAGTCATGTGGCATTGACATCTCTAAGAAACTTCAAATTAACATGGAAGAAAATTAAACATCATATCAATGGATGAAATAGGCATGATGGTTTCTCCATGATGTCATTGCATGTTGATGAAGGCACAGAACTATGAAATATGAGATGCAAATGTCATCAAAATACTAACCTGGTTTTGCAAGGAGCTGCACAAGGAGCCATTCCTTTTCTGCAAAAGGAGGGCTTGATTATTTATAACTGTAAAAACAAAACCAGAAAAATAAATGTTTCCTGTTTTCTTCATTTCCTTTCTATTCCACAAAGTATAGATATTTCTATTAGTTTTAAAATGCAACCTATCACCTCTTGTCCCTGTTTTTCTTAAATCTAGAAATTTTTTGCAAATTTAAGTTAAAACAGTCAAATGTCTTGCCCTGTTTTTTTCATTTTTAGAATAAACTGAAGTGTTTCAGCTTTTGTGTCTGTCCTGCTTGTTCACATGATTTAATTTTTATATCAGGGTTCAGTTTTTCATAAACATCAAGATCTTTTTCAATACCGAGGAACTGTATGGGTTCTGTTGTATTGCTATACTAAATTAAATTAATTTTATAACCTATTCAATATTCAGAAACATGAAAACAAGTTTTTCTCTGAGTTTAAATCAGGTACACTATGCCTTTAAGGTTAATATATTTTACATAGTGCTTTGCATATTAACTGAAGAAGGTTTGATTAGTTTTATTCTTTTCATTCTCTTAAAAAAGTCTTTTGCATTGTCTATTATCTCTGTTAGTAAAAAGTAAAAAATCTCTGATAACTTTCTATTATGTTAGAGAAGATTCAACAAAGCCTTTAATTTCTTTTGTCTTACATTGTAAACCAGGATAGTTAAGGGAAAAAAAATCTTTCAAGAACATGTTATCTGCTTGTAAATATAATAGTGTCATTCATCATTAGAGATAACACGCAGGGGTTATAGCTGTGTGAGCTATTTAAAAATCAAAAGCAGCACACTCAGAGTGTAGCCATGTTTGAAGGAGCAGTACAGAAAAGTTACCCCTCAAGAACATCTCGTTCTGAAGGGTAACCAAATATAATTATTTCATGTGGTGCCACATAATTGAGATGACTTGGAATTCCCCCTCTTGTAGCACTTCTGATCTGTCTCTTAAGTTTGACAGGGTAAGGTTAAATCTCCTTCTGTCACGGGTTGGGAAGAACTTCTGGTGTTAAGAATAGCTCATTAAAGGTGGATGGAATGTCTCATGTACATATTAATTACCATAACACTCAGTGAATGTGTCTTGGCTAGCAGAATGACATACCTTGCTGCTGTATCAATGAAAACTCAGTTTCTTGTTGCTTAAAACTAGGTCCAGTGAAATAAAAACATGGGAAATGGAGCAAGATTTTTTTTTTCTAAATATACATTTCTGTTCTCAACAAGTCAGCACCTATTTCTTTTTAGAGAGAATTTGAATTGAACATAGGACCATGATAATCTGAGGCTAGAGTTTATACCTGGAAAATGGAGTGCCTTTATCTTGTTTCAACTGAGTTTGCATGATATTCCTGTTACCTGTGGATATTAGCACACTGCCACAGCTAGACATTTTGACACGGCTATTCAAATGCCATTTTGAGTGATTTTTCTGTAAGGCTATGATTATCAAGACCCAAAAGGAACATTAAATTACTGAGCATGTTCTTCAATTTGACTAAATACTCCCAGAAATGTTTCTAAGCATTCACTGACTGTCAGACAGCAATGCCTTAATATCCAGTAGCAGTGTCTCCCATGGGATCAGAGCAGTTGCTGGACCTTGCCTCTGCCTAATCTCTTCATTGCAGTCTTTGTGAGTGACAGGGCTCTGCCCACGTATTACTGTAGCACAACTCCCCTGAGACGCCCTCCTTTGAACCTGAGGAGCCTACAGCAACCCAGATTCTTTATTTCTGAATATAAATCTCCTTCTCATGAGCGTATCCCTTTAATGTCTGGCTCTCAGTACATCTGATTCTTCCTCCTTTGAGTGTCCTACAGCTAGCAGGTTTTGATGAGCCCCAAAGAGGCACCTCTCTGTTTCTAACCTTATTAACACAGGATGATTTGCCTCTGTGTGACAGTTCTCTCTGGGTACCACACCACTGTGCAGGGACTTGTGATCTCTCCAAGAACTGTTTTACAGAAGAAAGCAAAGTGTTTCTCCTTGTGTAGCTTGGTGGAGAGTTTATCCACTGCAATACATGCAGGAAGCCATCCTGCCTACAGTATGCCAAGCAGTACTGCCAAGAGCCACTGCTCAGCAACCACTGTGTTTTTCACTGCTGCTCTGGAGGTGCAGCCCCCTGGCTGGGTTTGCCCTGACTTTGGATTGTAAAACTCCAAACTGGAAAGCAAAGCTGTAAGCTGGAGAAAGGGCAAAGTAAGTTATTCCTCAGTTAACAATTCCACCACTTCTTTTTTCATAACTCTTGGTGTATTCTTGGCAATATTGCCAATCACAGTCTGCATCCCTGCTTCCTTAATAAATTTCAAGCAAATTCACCATGAAAATACCAAGGAGATGAAGTGAGATATGTGTAACATTCCTGAAGCAGTTATTCTCCAAGTTCTAGTCAAGTCAGAGGCACTTAACCCTGCTGGTTAGCTTTCACTCTACATAAGGAGGGATCAAATAACTCCTTTATTAGTTAGAGAAACCTTAGGTTTATTTTAACTACTGCATCAACATGATTATGTGTAACAGGAGGATTCTTTGTAGTATTACAGATGGCAAAAATATTTTCTTTTTGTAGGACCTGGTTCTTTAGCCACCCCAGACAGCCATCTTATGTTCCTCTCTTCTCAAAGAAACATCTGTGGGATAAAGGGGGAAGTCTGAGGCCTCAGGAGAGTTCTCAAAGCCCAGCTCACAGATAAGACAGTTTACTGTAATTCATTTCCTAATCTACTTCATACTGTTCTACCACATTATTCATTCTTCTCACCCTCAGGACTTTTTTTCAGCCTGCCATACCAAAAGGCAAGTTACAGACCTTATTTAATTCTGATGAGCTGGGATGTTAATTGGGTTGAAAATGGTAATGATGCATCTAATTCTGTCTTATCTACACTGCTCATCCTGCTCTCAGGACACCTGAGAGATCAGCATCCCAGAACAGAGCCTTGAACATGTATTTTTCTGTGTTACACCCAGCTTCTCCCTTGACCCATTATCAATGGTACATTACCCAGTGACTCAAATATGAATCCCACAATATTTCCTCTCATTCTATTTCTAAGAGCAGGTACATGTTCAAAACATTTTTTTGATGTAAATTGCCTCAGCTAAAGCATAATTAGCTTCATGAAAAGGAAGCAGGTTAACCAGCCCCACCTTAGCTGAAACCACTGTCACCTTTACATTTCAGACTTTTATTTGGTTCTTCAGCTATTTCAATTACCAGTCAAGGAGGGGTTTAAGTCCACAGCATAATAATACTTGCAATTACTAGTAAATAGCATTTCACAGCACTAACCAGTCTGTCCTTACTACATCCATTTCAGGCAGGCAAATAAATGTTATTATCCTCATTTTACAAACACATTGATTAAGTGACTTACCTAAAGGCCACACATCAATTTCAGTGTCAGTGCCAAGAGTAGCACAGAGAAACTTCTGCATTGCAGACACAGAAAAAAGTGATTGCTATTATCAAGCCCACCCCCCTTCAGAAACAATCATTTTTCAGCTGTATAGTCAAATAGCATTTACCTTCCTCACATCCCCCACATGTTTTGTCCACCTCAACCTGCTCCCTGGTGATGGCTCAAAATGGTTCCTAAATACATCTTTAACATGGGAAGCTTTTCTATCTGCCTCCTGCTTCTTACACAAGGGTTGGAAAGCACTGCCTGGAGAACCTGTGAAACTCCCACAGTGGTGGCTGAGCCTATGGAGGCAGAAGGCAAGGGAAGGGAAGGGGGCAAGGGGCCCATGCTGCTCTCCACAAGGCAATGTGATATGTGATACAAGAGGAAGCAGCAGGAGCAGGATTAGATAGAAATTAGGATGATCTTTTACAGTCTCATTTTTAAAAGATTTTTTTGCCTGTCCAAAAAGCAAATTTTCAATTTTAAGGTTGTATACAACAAGTACAATTC